TCTCTCTTCAATGTCAATGTTCGTTCAGAAAAGTGTTGTCCGCGTACGCTCATCTACTGCGGGGGAATCTTATTCTGGGTAAATTTGGGTAACCTTTCCCAGTCATAGGACAAGTTATTCGTGGATACATGGACTTGTTGTAACTGTTCGCCCGGTTAGCTCAGTTAGTAGAGCGTTGGACTTTTAAATGAACGGTCAAGAGTTCAAGTCTCTTATCAGGCGCTCGCTTTTTCCTAATGGTTATATTTCAATCCCACTGTTCCAAAATTTGCCTTGTTGTGCCAAGTGACGCGACTGAACATTGTACCTTTTACATATATTAAATTGTTCAATTTGGCTCTACCGTTCCTGTTAAGGTTAATGAGTAGAATTGGATTTTAAGCCTTTTTCTTGTCCCTTAGTTAAGATAGCTATCGGCAACCAGTGGCTCCGGAGCCGCATGCCGCTACTTGCCGCTAGTTTTTTTGTCAGAAGCTGCAGGGATTCAATAAAAAGGGAGGTATAGGACGAAATGCGCTAATTACGCGTCACAGCGGTTTCGAAAGTATAAGTCGCAAGCTGTAAAAATGAGTCGCATTTGAAATCTGTCAAAACACACTTTTTCTTTTCATTTTCAAGTCTTATTATCTCATTATAGACTGAGGTATTTCATCTTAGGCTTCTCCCTAGTAAGAACTAGATTATTGCATCATAAGTGGTTTTCCGGGAGTTTCAATATCCACTGGCATTAGAGTAGATGTTGCGGTTTCGATCAGGTTTGAGTTCAATTGAAAGGATGGCTCTTTTATTGCTAAAGGTTGCCATAGTGTAAAACCGATATAAACCATTGAACACATCTCAGAACTAATCATTTTACAGCTACCAGTCTAGACTTCGTGAGCGAGCACACACGAAATGGCGATAGATCGTTGTATCATTTTGTATTTTTCTTTTTGTTGTTGTGCCAAACCGCTTTTTTATCAACTACTGGATCAATTGCTTTGAAATTTTTAGCTTAAGTCGTTAGTTTTGTAACCATAGTAGTAAAATATGTTGAGTGACAAAATCACGCTTCTGCATAAAGCGTGTCAACGTCGTTTTTGTAAATTTAGAAACGTCGAACCAGATAAGTAAGACAGGTAAATAATGTATTTTATGGAAATTCCTCGAGATATTGGGGGAAAATATTATTTTGTACCCGCAGAAATGTCATTATTGCCGATTTATTCACGTGTTTAGTATCAGTGTTTAAAACCAAAGCTGAGTTACGTGAATACTCAACACTAAGTATTCATGAGATTACCAATTTGCGGAGTTTTTTTTATTTATTTTGCTACGAAAGTAACACGGACACGATCTACAAGTATAGAAATGTCAACTATCCGCTTCACAAATATCGCATCCTAGGGTCATGGTAATATTGTTCGCCTGAAATTGGGACCGTAATTTACAAACTGTGATACAAATCCTACACAGAAGATAAAATTCAGAATAAAATTAATTTGTGTTGTGAATGCACTCCTTAATAGTTGTGTTTAATATCTTCGCCGATGTAAACTATTTCTGTTCGAAATATAAAAAAAAACTGCGATATCCGCCGTTGCGTGAGAAATAATATTTGCTAGTGAAGAAAAAAGTGCTTTAAATAGTTTAATTAACAACATTAATTGTAATGTCGGCCTCCGAAACGATCGCGGTGGCAAAAAATTCAATGCAGCCTTCGATTATGACAAAATTATGAAATAAAAAACGCCGCATTGTGTTCAGTCTTCTAGTAAAATCCGAAAAAAAAAATATTGTCACGGCGATCGTTTCGGCGGCCGACATCCCAAATAATGTTGTTCAAAATGACAATGCTCAATATTCGGTGTTCGTTAACATGTTCAATAACTTGATTAAAAAATACAATTTTTCCCGCCACTAATCACGGTGTATTTAAATAATCATTGAATGGCAATAAAAAATCAACTTCATTAACAATTAATACTAAGTAATAGTTTCACATTTCATGCATTTGATCGGCGCTACATGCGAGCGTGTTTTTGTACATATAAACCATTATGACGCCACTGACATCTGCGAGTTATAGTTCTCTTCAAAATTAATTTTCGATTTTTAATGTTTCATTTCTAAATGCGGGTACCCGCTGACTACGGATTAATGGTCGATGTTTGAAATAGGACTTGCAAAATAGTCACCAAACACCGTCAGACAAAGAGAGGCGAGGCGGGTTACACGTAACTGTGGAATTTAGCTGTGAACAATCATATTTAGTTTATTAAACTCACTACGTCGTCGTGAATTGCACTTTTGGTGCAATGTTTTAATTTCACCGAACTTTCAAGGGAACACGATACAGTATTCGGGGTACTGCCGTAGTATGTGTACCTTGTTAGGGTTAGGCCATGATTTTATTCCGATTTTCCTTATTTTAGTTCTATTACTGGTTCAAGGACTGTCTGTGTTAGCCAAGTGAATATACATCCCCCTGCCCATCAGTTTCAGCCCCTCTACACAACTTGATGTGAAGTAGGCGAACAAAATTAGTTGCCTCCAAACGCACGTTTTTAGAGCGCCATATTCAGTGCTCCCTTGTCTTTAGAATGTCGTTCCTGTGGTTATCTTATTTGGCGGTGCTCGGAGTCGTATTTTCGTATGTAACGGGTCGGTTGTTTGTTGCTGTGAACGTTTTAATGGTACAATGTTTGACTTTTCTTTCCCTGGTTACTGTTAGACTTAATCACGGGTGTCGCTGCTTGATAACCAGTATTGGTTGTTCGCCCCCAAATTCACCAGGATATACCATTTTACGTTTTTTTTTTATTGTTTGTACAAAGTGTATTTACATGATGATGCAAAAATAAAATACTGCTAACTGATAATAGGTTTTCAATGTTAGCGTAATAATTTGGAAATATTTTATTTACGCAATTCTATAGCAATGTTAATATGAAAATCCCGTTTTTATTTGTCAATGCGTATTGAAGATTGTAGAATAAACATAAAAATAATAAAGAAAAGTAAGAAAATATATATCAATTACGTCCGAAGATGTTTATATCAAATTACTCAAGTATTCTACTGTTATATTTGCAGCTTTTGTTAATCTTAAATTTTCCAAATGGATCTATTTTGCGTTAAACCAGGGGTGGGCGATTACTTTTCTGAGTTGGCCAGTTACAGATAATAGACTTGGATACTGGGGCGGAAGCTCAAAGCTTAATATGAAAACTATGAATAAAAGACAGTTTATTTACAAAAGCTAGTTCAACAGCTAGAGCTGACGTTTATATCAGTGGTTCTCAAACTTTTACAGCTGCACCCCCTTTTTTAGAATTGTCAAGTTTTGCGCCCCACCTCAAAAATAACTAGCTAACAATAAGGATGGAACGTAAATAATGAAATAAATGTAATAACAATTACGTAACAATGGAGTCCTAGGATTGGAGTAAACATGCTAACGATTGTATGGAAGGTTCTGGAGTCAGAGGTGGGCAGGGTCTTGGGCCACGGGCTAAATATTTTAACCACCTAGACTGGCGGGCCATCTAAGTGTGACGTAAAAGTTACATTTTATGAATGATATTTACAGAGTTACAAAAGCAAACGTGGCAAACAGTAAGCCTCGTGCCGACACTAAATTTATCCGCAATTTCAACAAATTCCTTGAGCTATTTTCAACTAAAACATCAAAATTTGGTTATAGTTTGGTTGTGGCAGCATCAGGCGGGCCAAATTGAATTACCCAACGGGCCGGATTAGGCCCGCGGGCCATAGTTTGTCCATGTCAGTTCTAGATACTCTGAACTAGCAGCATGAAGTTGAACTCTTAAACATGCTCCACGATAAAGATAATAAAGATACAAGAAAAACAGACTCTCTGCAATCTCTAAACAATAAAGAAATTTGAATAACCAAAATAAGGCGGACAAGATCAAATCTAACAAATATTTTTGACTATGATTAACTTTATGCCCCCTCAAAGTTGTCTACGCCCCTTGTGGTACATATAATCACTGGTACATATATAATAAGAAGCACAATGTAACAATCGGGGACATTATGACGTTATTTTCATCGACATTTTTAACGGAAATTTATATTCATAACAACTGTAGTCGCAATTTCAGCAGATACTTAGGTTGACCGGATTCGGCCCGCGGGCAATCATTTGCCCACCTCTGCGTTAAACGATTCAAGGTTTAATATTGATAAGTTTTGCAAAAATAACGATAAATTCAGATGTTTAAAATGCGAGACACGATATATTATAATTCTTCAATTTCAAATTTTGAAAAAAATGAATATGTTATAAATTTTTATATACGGAACTATCTTTGGTGAAACATGAATGTGAATTCCAACGTTTTTTTTGTGCTCCTGAAGTATGAGCACAAATATGGCGCACAACCCGAACATAGTATGTGTACCAGGTTAAGGTTATGGGGTTGTGCGCCATCTTGGTACACATACTTCTGGAGCGCCCTTTTTTTAATTTTTTTAATTAATTTTAACATAAAATGAATATTTGAATAATCTAAACAAAAACAGCTGAAAGCAATTCAATAATATGGGGTGTCCATGTATTTAAAAAAATTTCAAAATTGCAAAAGAAATTCAATGCCATTTAGAGTTTTGGCCCACACCCTGCACTTTATGGCCACCTTGTATTTATCACATATTATGAACAAAACGGTAAAATTAATGAAATTTGTTGACCACATTTAAATATTTGCTGTTCATTAAGTTACATCTTGTATTGTTTAAAGAAGTTAGACCATAATCTAACGAAAGCTCACAAATGTACTTACTATTTTGTTAAAAGAACATTTTACTTTTATTTTTTACATAACAATAACGGTTAGCATTTTCAATAATTTCCATCACCCCCCCCCACAATCTTCCCCCCTAAAATTAAAACCTGGGGAACATACTGGGGATATACGTAGTATTTACACGGAAAGAGTTTCTCCATCTTATTTTTTTCATCTGACAGTTTGCTATAACAGTTGCATGGAAGTTTAAACTTCACACAGGACGTATCGGGAATAATCTGGGTAGTTGAAAATGTATTGATTTTGGCTTGTTGAGTCTTCATGAATCCTGATATACATGTTTGTGAAACCAGAATTACCCTGCCCATTGTATGGAGACCCAGGGTACCATTTGAAAACACTGTGTGATGTCACAGTTCCGTTTTGAAAACGAAGAATCTGATTCTAAAACAAAGAAGTGAAACTATATTAAGTGTTCAATTATTAGAATAATTTGATTATATTCAAAAGTTATGGAAGTTAAAGGTTGCCGCTACTTTCCGATGTCCGGAGTTTTTTGTAATGTATTTGATTTTTATACAATACTATTTTTAATTATATAAATTGTTCGACTTCTTTCTATTCAACCTGTATCGAAGTTAGACTTTAATCACAGGTGTCGCTGTAAGCGAAAAATTTATCACGTTATTAAAAAGACTTCAACGTCTTTCAAAAAATCACTATAAAAAAACTCCGACTATCACGAGCTGAGCCTGGAACACTTCGACAAATTTTCTAGTGAAACTTATTGTGAGTCAAGTACATCGCGGAACAATTATTCCATGCCGAAAACCGATCGTATTTTTTACTTCACAATCTGGTTGTTTGGTCACAATTAATTTCAAACAAATTTAGTTATCGCCGTATTTAAACTGCATAGTTGTCCTTTTCTTGTCATTGTTAGAAACTGCTTGTCTGAGGAAGTCTGATTTTGGTCAGACGAAACGTTACAGAAATACATTTGTGTTAGTGTGCAGCAGTACTCCCGAATAGCATAGTATGATATTTTTTCCTTGCATTACATGCATACGGATCCACTAGCGCAAAGGCATTAGGAAGGATTGGGAGTTAGTTTCACGTAATCTCTACTGATAGTAATACTGATAAAGCTTTTATATTAACTCACAATAGGGTCGTATGTCAAGCCGAGAAAAGTTTTATGATTGCCCGTCCAACTTGTTGTCACGAATGAATGTCATTATTGTCCATGTGAATCTGGTGTATATATTTGCAAGTTCACCACCGAGCTGTTGACATTTGACGATCGCTGATGCTTTAGTAACTTGTTCAGATGCCAACGGTATGAATATTCTTCCGTCATAACGCACAATATCTGTAATTCAAATAATTTGCAATTGCTAAATCATAATAATTGATCTAAGTGGTTATCAAACGCCGATACCGATATTACAAAAAGGCCGATTTTGCCGATACTCCGATACTATGTAATTATTACCTCAAGTGTGCAGGCAGACGGTTAAAACAATAGCATTTGGGCATTATTCATATTACACATTATTTCAGATTGAAAAAAAGAAATATCACATAATAGGAAATTGATGGCTGGGATACAGATGCATTAGTTGATTCAGTTGCATTGTGCACTGATGCTAGTAATCTCGGTGTTCAATTAGAAAACTCATGGGCAGGGATGTCCAATTCGAATTTAATATCAATATCGCGGCCTTTGAATATTGTTTTTTGTGTTTAAAAGAATATCGAATATCGCCCACACATTTTAGCGCCGTTTTTAATTGAAAAATTTTAATATTTTATTTTGTGTTTAATTGTAATCGTGAGTCGAAAAGTATCTAACACGTCGAGGAAGTTTTTTATTTACTATTTTATAATATTTTACAAATATTATCGTATATTTTAGGATAGTCTAGGACTTAGGCGAACAATAAATCAACAGGAAATTGCGTAGTTCAACAAAATTAATGAAATCACAATATTTAATACTTGTGTAGAGGGATAGTTCAGTCGGAATTTATCTTAACGATGTCGATGGACTAAACGACACTCGCGCTTGACGATAAACAGTGAGAATTTATAGTCGCACGACAAAGTGGATGTTCTGTTAATAAGGACCACGATTCCACTGTATGATTTAAAACTGCGCGCCTAGTTGCTCTTTTTTCTGTGCTGTGTTGATATATTTCTTCATAATTACTATGTATTAAAAATGTCAATAAAAAAATTTGGCAGCGGAAAGAGCCAAATTAGTTGAGCTAGTTTGGCTGATAAATAACTAAAAACAGGCGAATACAATTCTCGTTTCTACTCGCTGGGATGGGGACATGCATGACTCATAGTTCACGACCCCTCCAAGCAAAAATGATTTAAAATCAATATTTTAACTTATTTTTTAAAACATTTGGACCGGAAATATCGGTCGATTACCGATACATGACCGATTCGGGAAAAATGGCCGATATTGTCGATACTGATTCCGATACATCGTTACATCTCTAATTACAACACAATTGGAAAAAAGCAGAATCCTTATAGATTCGATTGCATTATAGCAGGACAGTAGCAGCACGTTTTGACTCGGCCACATATAATACCAAACATACCATATATTTTTCAAATTTTGAGCAATATACATGTAACATATTTTTTATTGGAGGATTTTGATAAAATTGTTTAAACTTCTAAATTTCGTATTTTGCGGAATACCTGTAAATGCATATTTCGCTTGGTTGGTATTTTTTAAACAGTATTTTATCGTCAAATTCCGTGGTAAATTTATATTTTTATCAGCCTTATTAAATTTTTACATGTTTTATATAAGTGAACACAATATGCGCGTGGAAACTATATTCAATGTGTAAAAATATTCTTGCTGAAATTTCTCCTAGCTTCACAGTGGTCTCTGATACGGCGCGCATTCCCTCAAAAACCAATGAAAACAATTCTGGCAGCATAGGTCAAAGGTCAAGAGAGTTGGTAATTCTGCTCGCCAAGTGAATTACTCAAGTTTAAATACTAATTATCAAAAAGCGAACTTGAGTGAAATAGTGTAGCAAAGTGGTTCTTGAACTTTTTAGGACACGCCCCTTTTTAAAAATTGTCAAGTCTCGCGTCCCACCTCAAAAGTAAGTAGCTAACAACGAGGTACAAATAACGGTGACCGTACATTTGAACCCATGCGTATATCTACGGGTTCAATCTATATGCGGGTGCTAAAACCTATGGGTTAGGGTTAGTATGGGTTTAACTATCCGTGAAACAAGAAAAATTCCATAGGTGCAATAGCATACAGGTGCAATTGTCATGGGTTCAAATGTACGTGGGTTCAAACGTAATGGAAGCACAAATAACAGATAGTAAGGCAAAAGTATGTTTCATTCAAAAAACACGTTGAGAATACGTGGATAAAGGTGATTAATGAAATAAATGAAAAGTTTTAAAAACAAGCAAAATTTTCTGTTATTTTTATTAGTAAAGTTGTTTACGATTGACAAGATGTTTAATTCAAGGTTTTGTGATGGATAATGCTTTTGTCTTCCCGTGTACCAGGGTGGGAAACTCAATTTTGCATAAAATCAAATCTTACAAATATTTTTAATTAGCTTCGCGCCCACTCAAAAAATTGTCTACGCCTTCCTGTGGGGCGCGCCCCAGCGTTTAACAGTTTATATTTTTATCTTTGGCGCGGCGGTGTGGCTCATTGTGCTATGCGTTAGAAAAACGCTCGCCGCCGCACCTCTGATTACCCTGCGTGGGTTCGCAGGTTCGAATCCCATGTGGGGATGATCAAGTGCGAGAGGATTGCTGGACTCCTCGCCGCCGTAGGGTGGTTCACGTAACCGCTGGTCGGTTACGTCTTCCTCTACCATCAAGTCCATGCTTCCGAAGACTGGCTAAATAAATCCATACTCGACCTGAAATGGTAATCTGACAAGAGGCCGTGCTTCACCATATGATTGAGCCGTCTCATCCTCTTTCACCCTGGGATAAATATGTGAATCCTAAACCCTAACTAGGTTAGCGGCAAACCGAAAATATACTGTTCTTCAGAAAATAGTGATTCTTTACACATCAATGGGAGATTGCAAAGAGCCTTGTTCGGGTTGTGGGTATAAAATCGCAGTAATACAAACTCAAAACTGCACACTCACATTCGTTCAATGCAGTAGTTCCCAAACCGCGGCCCGCGATTTTATATGGCCCGCCGAACTTGAGTGAAATAGTTTAACACTTTATGTTTTTACCTTTTTACGTTCTAAATACCGCCAATTGTTACGTCAATATCATAGTTTGAGCACGTGTAAATGGTAACAATAAGTATCTTAATTATACATATCAGTACCGGTATCGGCCCATTGCTCGCGCTCCCCTATCCCAGCACATAATTATCCTTCGACTTCTATTTTTGGCCCCCGGTGAACGAAATGCAACAAACCTTGTTCAGTGAATCCAGGAGGCGGAAAATGCCTTCTAATTCTTCTATTCTGTCCAGCAATTCATCCATTGTTTCGTTCATTTCTGCTCGTTGCTTTTCCATTGCTAAACACAAATGTTATAAATTGGAATCATAACAGCTGTCTACACATACATTTGCGTTTTATGCTTTACAAAAATCACCAAATACGGTCAAAGAAATAACTTTGGTGGAGGCAACTGAATTGCAACGTAAGTGAATGGCGTTTATATGTAGGCTGCAAGGAATTATTGAAAAAAGAATTTAGATCAGTGGTTTGCAATGTTGATTGACCAAAATTAGAAGCGGAAGAACATTTTCGGGCCGGAAAAGCGAAGCGCCCGCAAGATGCCGGTACCGGTACGTATAATTGAGATATCGGTATAATTGATTTGTTACGGATATACACGTGCTTAAACTATGATAATCACTAATAATCGACGGAATCTAGAACGCAAAAAATTAAAAACATAAAGTGTTAAACAATTTCACTCAAGTTCGGCGACCATGTTAAATCGCTTTGCGCGCCGCAATTGGCCGCGGGCTGCGGTTGGGGAACCACTGTTTTAGATGATGACTAATGTTTTGAAATAGGGTATATTCACTTGGCTAACACAGACAATCTCCGAACTCGTCATATAATTAATATATGGAAAATTGGAATAAAATTATGGCCTAGCCCTAACCCGGTACACACACTACGAAAGTCAAAAAAAATGTTGAATAACTCTCGAATGTTCGTAAAAGAAAGAAACGTTGTTCATTTCTTCATTACAAGTTCAAAAGTCAAAAATCCAACTCTGTGGTATGGCGCACCGTCCTAATCGTTAACAATACGCTCGCCATCGCACCTCTGATTACTCTGCGTGGGTTCGCAGGTTCGAAACCCATGCGAGGATAGTTATGTACGAGAGGATTGCTGGACTCCTGGCCGCCGTATGGTTGTTCACCCACCATTAATAATAGTACAATCACGATTTCATTGAAAAATAGCTTGAAGCAGACAAGAGAACTAGAACTGCTAAGTCTATACTTCCGAAAATAACCAACTGACTAACTAATCCCATACCCGACATGGACTGGTAACCGGACGAGAGGCCGTGGATCGTCATATGATTAAGCCGTCTGATCGGATTTTCTCTCTCCCAGGATAAATATGTAAATCCTATGCTATCCATCTGAAGATTTGACAAACAGTTTTGCATATACATCTACAATAGCAAATCAAACAATCTTGTAGATTTCACCTCTTTCGACATTTCTATTGATCAAGGCTTCAAGTTCATCATAATCGACTTCTGCTTGTGATCCCTTGAGCCCAGGAAATCCTCTATCGCCTTTCGGGCCTTTTTTGCCCGGAATAGTTTGTACTTCGGCACTAAAAATAATTGTATATTTATATTAGTCGTTATTTATTTTCATAAAGTTGTTCCGCACAAAGCGCCGTTTCGCTCATAATTAGAAGATTTAGAACCGGAATCTTTCAGCATTTCCCATTATGGTCGTTTCCTCGACCCTTGACCCCTGAAAAATTATCCCTATATTAAACGATTTCCAAATTTTAAAACGCTTTTATTGAGTTTTTGGAAAGTTAGCGCTTACAAACTGACTCACATGCCGCTTACAGGTACTGATGGCTAATTTTGGCTAGTCTATCGCAGCGTTTATTGTGTCAATTTTTATTTATTGCAACTAAACTAAGGGTCATCGGAAGACATATTGACAATCGAGTTATTTGATTTACGACTATTTTTTGAAAGCACAAGCAAAACCTGACGGACAACACGCAAAACCGGCATATTTACAACCATGCTTGAATATCCGTCCGAGAGCAAGAAGTTTCTGAGCGACTTCATGAATTGCTATTGTTACGTTATCGTAGGTTCATTGCTGATTGATCATTGTTACAAGAATAAACAAGAAAATCAATGCTCTGGAAAACATCCAATGAGACTGAACAATATAGTCTCCATAACAGGCGGTTTAAATTGTTATCAGTGAGTCGCTGCTACATCTGATAATTACAAGATTTTTGTAAAATTACCAAAATATTACTTTGCAAAATTTGCCACATACCGATTTTCGCCATATACATCTTCTATACTCTCTAACTGTAGACAAACCCTCTCTTGTCTTCTTCCATTCGTGAGTATGGAAAGTGAGAGAAATAGCACCAAAGTGACTATTGGTGATGTCATAGTTAATAATTATTTAATACGAGAGAATCTGGAAAAACAAAGATTTGTGTCGCCATAATGTTTAATAATTCAACAAAGTATATAAACTTCTGCATTCCCAGATTAGTATTATTAGGCAAGATCAGTAATCAAGATTATGCAAGTATAATATCAAATTTTTTTTATTAAATTAATATTTTTTTTTATTAAAAATCATCTAGGCCAGAGCTTCCCAAACTTTAAGCTCGCGACTACTGTTGTTATGCGAGTGCGTCGCTTCTATTCCGCCTTATGTACTCTCGCGGAATCGCGAGATTTGTTTTGCACTAGTTGTGTTTCGAATTGGAAGCCTTGAAAAGTACAATAAATATTTTGTGTAAAATTCGTTGCGTGACTTCCTGTGGGGTCGCGACCCCCAGTTTGGAAAACCCTGATCAAGGTCACCACTCTAAATAAATATTTGAAATTCATTTAAGAATAAATATATAATACAATCACATTGTCGCAAGAGTTTTACTTTCTCCAATATTATATTCTACATCAGTGTTTCTTAAACCATGGGTCACGACCCGAAATTGGGTCGCCAGAAAATTTTCTTGGGTTGCTTGCTTTTTCAATAAATACTAAAAGTTACTAATTTTATTTTATAGTAAATTTTTTACTAATATCTTATTTGGTATTGAAGTGTTGCTCAATAGTAATTGCATGTGTATCACTGCGTAAAAACCTAGCAGCATTTATTTTGCTTAAGTGAAGCAACGCGTCGATTTCAAAAACTCGCTTATGACCCCTTGCGGGCAAACCTAGGTAAAGCTAGCGCCATGAATTGATCGCAAATAAAGTGGACAGTTATCGCGAATATACTTAATTGCAACACGATGAATGAAACGATTTCTTCCTTTTTTAAATCAAAGAAAGACGTGAAACATAATACAACAGAGAATGATTGGAACAATACAACAATACACGGGTTCGAATATAGATAATTTTAAAAATTAAAAAAAAATTAGGAAAATAATCGTAATTCTCGAGCTTTTTCGGTCCAGGGGGCAAAAAAAATGAATTTACCACTAAATAGAGGACTAATATGAGAACTCAACGCAACAAAAAAAAAAATTGGTGCTCACTTGCGATTTTTAGAACTTTTTTGGGTTCGAATATTGGGAATTGTGCAAAAATTGAAAATTTTGTGAAGATAACCGTTTTTTTTAAGCTTCTCCAGTCCCGGGGGCAAAAATGTGAATTTACCACTGAATAGAAGAATATTGTAAGAACTTAAGGCAACTACAAATTTTTGGTGATTACCTGCGATTTTTTAAACTTTTTTGGGTTCGAATATTGGGAATTGTGCAAAAATTGAAAATTTTGGAAAGGTAACCGATTTTTGAATTGGTAATGTCAGTGAATTGTCAATATTCGAACCCAAATAAGTTCGAAAAATCGCAGGTAATCACCAATTTTATTTTTATTTTGCCTAGTTCTTGCATATTAGTCCTCTATTCATTGTTTAAATTAATATTTTTGCCCAATGGACCGGAAAAGTTAAAAAAAATCGAATACCTTACCAACATTTTCAATTTATTCAAATTGTCAATATATGAACCCAAAAGAATTCAAAAAATTGCAGATAATCATCAAATATTTTTCGGTGCGTTCAATTTTCATATTAGACCTCTATTCATTGGTAAACTCATTCTTTGCCCCCCGGGGACCGGAGAATGTTTAAAAAAAATTGATTATCTTACCAAAATTTCAAATTTTACCAAATTGTCAATATTCGAACCCAAAAAGAGTTGTGAAATAAATATGAGATATTCGAATATTCGATAGATTCGTTTTATTTGTGTTCAAGTGATCATCCATCTATCCACCATCCGTCCAAATTAAAATATAACAAGATTTGGAAATTCTGTTCTTTATTTCACGATACAATGCACACGCTGGTATGACATCCGGTACAAATATTTAAACATTTGGCTGGCATTGCGGCATTGCGGCTGGCATAAAACACATATTAGAATTCAAAGAAATTCCACCGTGCGGAAAGTGGGGTAATTTCCACCCAATTTATCGGAAAAATCGACTTAAACTTTAATTTTTACGACCGTATCCACCAATAGATATATAACAAAACATTATAGCTGAGTTTGCTTACACGACAACTTCGACTGCAGTCTACCAGCTAACAAATACATTATAAATTATAACTCAATTTAACAATTCAGCTTTGCCTATTCTCGTTTTAATTTCATATCAGTCTGGCGCATTCAAATCAAAGCAAGTCTTATATAATTAGCTGACATGAGATGCCGTCTGCGTTAACGAATACTCGACAGGGCAGCGGTTTGCCCTAATTTCATATGTCTACATGTTTACAAACTTCGAACGAAGTAAAATACACATTGACGATAAGAAAAACATCAGTCTGGCGCACTCGTAACAAAGCAAGTCTGATAAAACTACGTGACATGAGATTTCCTCTGATGTAGGCTAAAGAATTCTCGACAGAGCAGCAGTTTGACCTTATTTTATATGCCTACATGTTTACAAATTTCGAACGAAGTAAAATACGCATTGACGATCAGAAAAACATCAGTTTGGCGAATTCGGAACAAAACAAGGCACCTCCTGAAGTATGCGCACCAAGATGGCGCACAACCTGAACTCAGGTTGTGTACCAAGTTAAGGTTCAGGTTATGCGACATCTTGGTGCGCATACTTCAGGCGTACCAAACAAAGTCTTATAAAACTACGTGACATTAGATTCTTTCTGATGTAACAAATTCTCGACAGAGCAGCGGTTTGACCTTATTTCATATGCCTACATCAAGGGTCTCAAACTCGCGGCCCGCGGGCCAATTGCGGCCCACAAGACGATAGTTTGCGGCCCCCGCCTTGGTATGAAAGTTTAATGTTAGTGCGGCTCGTAAGTCACTCAACTCAGTTAGAATGATTGATGCATTTAAAATATATGATCAGGACACGTAGAGCAAAACAAAATATTTGATAATCTATCCTCCGAAAAGCATATGCGGTACGGTAACCTACTGGTACCGTACCTGTAGGCATGATATTCGATGGACCTTTGACCCCAAAAAAAATTTTCCTATACCATTACCATTGCAAATTCTTGGTGCTCATTTTAGAGGTGGCTTCGCGAGTTTAAGCCTATAAACTGGGGTATATGTTTCACGTCATCATTTTTATTCAAAACATTCAACCTGTTTTTCAACAGTACCGGTAGAGAAGTTTAGACTAGTCTATCACAGCTATTTCTAGACTTATTTTTGATTACGGCAATTAAGCTACGACGCCCAAGCAATCAGAATGATCATTGAGTTCTTTGATTCATACATGAATTTCTGAAACACAACACAAAACTAACAAATAATAGCATTCAAAAACGAGGTAATGTTTACAAACATGCCTGAAATTCTTTCTGAGTGACAAGTGTCTGAGCGTTTGCGAAAAAGTCTATTGTTACGTCACTTTTTGCGTCTTGCGGATTAGCCCATGTTACGGAAGTAGATATTCGGGGAAAGGTCCATCGCGGAATGACCCACATTTATGTTTTTGACATGTTTTGCGTATAGAAAAACAGTGAAAAAGATTTACCTTTTTAAGTTTAATGCTTTTATTGTGAAAAACCGGATGCGGCCCGGACTCACTAAGGCTCCATCTCGGCGGCCCCAAGGTAAATTGAGTTTGAGACCCCTGGCCTACATGTTTACAAACTTCGAACAAAGTAAAAAATACACATTGACGATCAAAAAAACATCAGTTTGGCGAATTCGGAACAAAATAAGGGACCTTCTGAAGTATGCGCACCACGATGGCGCACAACCTGAACTCAGGTTGTGTACCAGGTTAGGGTTCAGGTTATACATCTTGGTGCGCATACTTCAGGAGTACCAAAACAAGTCTTATAAAATTACGTGACATTAGATTCTTTCTGATTTAACAAATTCTCGACAGAGCAGCGGTTTGACCTTATTACATATGCCTACATCAGGGGTCTCAAACTCAGTGGTTCGACTTTATTTTGTATGCCTACATGTTTACAAACTTCGTATGCGACATCTTGGTGCGCATACCAAAACAAGTTTTATAAAACTACGTGACATGAGATTCCTTCTGTGGCAAAACATACTCGACAGATAAGTGGTTTGACCTTATTTCTTATACCTACATGTTCACAAACTTTGAACGCCATAAAATACACTTTGACGATCACAAAATTGAGTTTCATTTAAGGGGGCTCCCGAAGTATGCGTACCAAGTTGGCGGACATCGGAATGTAATGTGTGTACTAGGTTAGGGTTAGGCCATAATTTTAGGTATAAATACTACGGGAGACTCTTGGCTAGTCTTCGAACTGATAATAGGACTAAAATAGGGAAAATTGGAAAAAAATTATCGCCTAACCCTAACCTGTTACCCATGTTACGTTCCGATGTCCGCCATCTTGGTTCGCATACTCCGGGAGCACCCATTTAAGAGCTTGGAAGCGTGAGTTTGTTTTCGTGCTAACATGGCCCCACACGAACAAAGAGGCTGGAATCCGCTGCGATAGTGCATAACCAGACTACTGTTTCCAAAGTCGGTTCACCTGCCATGCCGTCGAGGGGAGGGGTCCGCTGACTTCTTTCTGTGACGTACCTCATACACATAACCTCTGGCAGCTTACAGCTTCCATAACCAGTTCTTTGTTTCAAAATTTAACTGGACGAGAAACCGCGGTACACCTTGGGTGTCGCTGCTCGATAACTAGCTTTGGTAAACTGTAATTTTCATTTTTTTCTCGTATTTTCTGTGTTCATCCGTTTTTTTACTGATTGATTAAAAAAAAAATTTGACTTTACTCGCCAAGTGATTAAGCCATATTAGCGGCTTACCTAGGCATATACAAGGTGTCCCTAAATAAATGGAACCCATTAATCCAATTATCAATTTTGGGCGCTCCTATAGTATGTGCATCAAGATGGCGCACAACCTGAACCCTAATCTGGTACACATACAATGTTCAGGTTGTGTGCCATACAACGGAAGCACCCAATTTTATGGGTTCCATTAATTTTGAGACACCCTCTATATCCTATAGAGAAAGCTATTCATCTTCATGCACCCCCAGAATAGAATAAAAACAGCTTTTTTAGCATATCAAGTGATTTCATTAAAAAACATTCATTTTATACAAAATCGAACAAGTTGGCACAACACATGCACAATGAGTTTGATAATTATATGAATACGGAAAACATTGATTCAAAAATATATGAAATGTCTTTTAACCAGAACTGTGGAGCCCAAAATTAACGTCCTTGCAGGCTTTTTTTGCAGTTCCTCTAAAACAGGGTGTGCAACATTTTTTACCAGTAGGTCATACACTTCAGACATCTAGCTTGCCTACACAAAAAAAATCGGCGGAAAGGCAATCTTAGATCAAGGGTGTGCGACATTTTTGTTGGTGGGAAATATCACCAATTTCAGATATTTAGCCCATGTGCACAAGGAATTGAAAAAAGTGACCACAATGGAAGATTCAACGCAGCGACAAGACAAGAGTAAAAAATCATGATGTATTTTGCCCACATAAAAAAGCGCATGATAGATTTTTGAGAAACGAAAATATTTGAAATGTGCCTTATATGAAAAAAAGGTGCTCCTGAAGTATGCGAACCAGGATGGCGGACATCGAAACGTAGATTTCGTAGATGGGTAACAGGTTAGGGTTAGGCCATAATTTTATTCCAATTTCCCTTATTTTAGTCCTACTATGAGTTCGAAGACTAGCCAAGTGCCTATCGTAGTATTTGTACCTAAAATTATGGCCTAACCCTAACCTAGTACACATATTACATTCCGATGTCCGCCATCTTGGTTCGCATACTTCAGGAGCCCCGAAAAAAATATGGTAGTAATTTGCTTCAATACCACAATAAATTTCTGCAAAAAAACAATAATTCCAAAATATTGGCATATTTAAATGTAATTTACAAAAGCTTCATGGACGGTTGGTTGACTGCAATTTTGGTGTAATAAAATAGACAGAAAATACTTCAAATACGGCATTCGCAATCAAAAATATCCGAACAAAAAATCGTAAATAACCGTTCCAAGTATTTTACTTACATAAGATTGATAAAACAGGCTACCATTTATTTCTGAAAACTGTGGTGAAAATTGCCACCATTCATTTATTTTTCCTTTTCTGTGTTATTTACATGAGTTTACGACTCAATATAGAGTATTCGATATTCCAGATTTAAAAACATATTTCTGAGTGTTTTACTGTCTTCGCCGTAAAGGTTACAAATGGAGAAATAATTTCAACAAGTTCAAAAATAACATTGAAAAAGATTATTAAAATAGGAAAAAAATGAAATACTAGCTTATCAACGTATAAAATGTTATACAGATAACCGTGCAGTACAGGAAAATGATAAACATATATTGTTACCATGTCACATTAGAAAAATAGTTTAATGATCTTATGTAGTACCATTTGTAGTACAGCACCAAATAATAAAAGAGCATCGTCCAAAAGCAAGTACCTTTGTTTATTTAAGAAGGATTGATAGGCTTTCCTCTCCTCCCGAACAAGATTAGGTAATGTCAACATGATTTTTGTATAAAAATATACTTTTACCTTAATATCTGTTATTTGTAGCTTATTGTTAGCTAGTTATTTTCGAGGGGGCGTGAGACTTGACAAACAAAAAGGGGGCGTGGCTTAAAAAGTTTTAGAACCATCGAGATAGTGGGTCCGGCCTTATATAATAAACCTCGACAAATTTTACCATTTGCCATGATTTTGCTCAAAAACAGGCTCCTATACTCGTAAGAGAGGAAATCTGATAAGACAGTACAATCAAATTGCAAACCATAGCATATTCGCTGGATGGCCCGAAAATGGAGGATTGTTTAGGGTCTAAAAAGCGTTTCAATTTACATTGAGTGATGAGAGATTAGCCAGAAATTTTGAAGTTAGACTGTAACAGCTAGCACGTCCAACCAAGTCTTGTGGTTTAAAAAGTGTTTCGAACTAAGAAAAGTGCTTTTTTACCTTTCTAGAATGGGGAAGACAAGACAATCCTATAAACCTCTGTATACGCCCCTGCAATGAGAGTGACGATTGGCAAAAGGTATAAACCCTAGATATGTAATCTGTGATGCCAATACGGCCATGTTTTACGTTTTAACAGCTAGGTCATCTTATAGCGTTTCCTCTTCTTTAGAGAATTCGATCAGTGATAAGAAGATAAGATTTTTGATAAAATGCAACTTAGGCTTCGTGTAGCATACTAAGCAAATTATTCCTACATGGCAAAAAAGAGGGTGCACCTTGAATTGTATGCTGCTATGCTATTTGCAAAAATAATTTGATGGTGAAAAAGTGAGAGGTAGAAAAATACTGTTCAATATTTCATGATGCTGTGAAAAATTGTTTTACGTTTGTTCAGAAAAAGGTTCCAGACAAGAAAACAACACAACTGAGGAATCACGAAATTAAGCAAACGATTTTTATTACTTTAAAAGCAGTGGTTCCCAAACTGCAGCCCAATTACAGACTGTGTAACGATTAATCCGTCCCGCCGAACTTGAAAGTGAAAATCACAGTTTGAGCACTTGTATATTCATAACATTTTAATTATACAGATATTGGCCCATTGTGGGTGCGTGCGCATCCCGTTCCTGGCCTGTAAACACCCTTTTGGTTATAATTTTCGATCCAGCCTCAGTCGATCAACTTTGGGAATCACTGACTTGGAGCCATACTAAGTTAAGATTTTCAAAAGAGCATACATGATGAATACAGAGCAAAAAAAGATATAATAAGTATAAAAAGTAATACAACACCAAATAATGACTTAAAAATACAAAAATCACACAAGTATGAAATAAAGATACAAAAATTTGGTCACATTTGTAATATTTGATAAATTGCTTCTAGTTTGTTATTTCGCTACTCCCATAGTGTGTGTACCAGATTGGGGTCAGCCATAATTTTATTTCAATTTTCCTTATTTTAGTTCTATTACGAGTATGGGGACTGTCTGTGTTAGCCAAGTGAATATACCCCCTGCCCATATGTTTCAGTCCCTTCACACAATTTGATGTAAAATAGACGAACAAAATTAGTTACTTCCATATTGGTACACACACTTCAGGAGCGCCATCATTTCTATGCAAAACATCAACATTTGTGTATTATGTGGGGTATCCTATGCGCCATACGAAAATCTTTTTGATGTCAGGGACAATGTTCCAATCATAGGAATCATCTCCTCGACAAGAGTTGCACTCGAATCACGATTTATCAAAGATATAAAGTCACTCAAGCGATCTAAATTAAATAATTCAGACTCTGACTTAACTTACTGGGAGGTGGTTCTCTGAAAGATGTTGTTAACACTTGGCAGCCACCTAGTGCATAAACGTTTATAAACCCTTTACTGCCACCTAGTGTATTTTTAAAATTAGGTCAGCATTTACCATCTGGGAAGAAACTCTTTTCCACGGACGAATTTATATTTTTTTGGGATGTGAGGGAGAATTTATTCTGTATTTTCGTACAGTAAGACTGATATTGTTCGGTTATTCGTAATATAAGGTGTCCATAAAATCTTGATATTTTTAAAATCGCAAAGAGAATTTATCGATATCATATATTGTTTTGGCCCTCACAGATGTATTAAATGAAGTAAAAATACTTGAACAATTACTGATTAAAAAGCAACAAACTTGGTTGAGATATATTGAGAACTGACTTCATAACAAAATTGTAAAGGGACTTTATAGACACGCTGTATGTCGGTATGCACACATCATGAACTATTCATACTATGCAAAAACCAAAGTGCGAGTTGAGCGTAACACTAGGTAACTATCGATTAAATAATGAACAATGAATAGCAACTGAGTTTAGCAACCGCATAGTGAGGGAATAAGGGTTTCAAAATATGCAGAGTGAGGCTATTATCGAATAGTTGGCATAGCGATGGAGGAAAAAGTGGGAGTGAGAATTACCCAAAAAGGTTAAATCACTGAATTAAGCTATAATATTGGGTCCTCAGGTGAAGGTATATCTGTAGTGCTAGTGTCGTCAGTTATATCGACTAATGTCGCTTCTTCCTCGCTTCCTGATTCGTCAGCAAGCTCGTCATGGTCTAGAAGTTGCGTCTTTTCACTAGTTTGATGTCCGTTAGCTGTCCGTGTAAACAAACGATCGTATAAAGGATTGTGGAAATTCGTCTAAAAAGAGATGAAATACGTTCAAATCTTTAGTAGTTATGACCGAACATTGTAAAGTGAACAGAATCTTATCTATTTCCAGAATATATGGCCCCCTCTCAAATCTCATAACACATGACCTGTTCCAAACAAGGCTAGATAAATCAGTCACTGAAATCTGATAATATATTAAAGAATCTCTCTACTGACTCCAAAGTACACAAGCGAGCATTTTCATCTGTCTCGTTAATCTGGTAAAGGAATATTGATAGTAACCCAGGAAAAGTCAGTTTTCAGTAAATCGTTCAAGAATGAGCAAAATGGTGTTAGAAAGATGTAAGAATTTATACTCCAAATGCCACAAAATAACATTAAAAATAAATTAAAAATTTTTATTGGGGGGAGGGAGCATCGCCCTCAGCCCCTAAGTAAGCATATGCTTTTGTATCTGAGTGAGTGTGCATAATCATCTCCTGCGCGAATTCCCTTTAAATAGAGATTGTACCTTTTCTGATTCATCTAGATCACTAGTGTCAGTAGAGAGCATTCCTTTTGCTTCGCCGTTAGATGTTGGTTCGCTTGCGTCATCGTCATCAATGTCGAGTCGTTCTGGTAATATAGCGCCATCTGGTTGCAGTTCAACGTACAGCGGATTGTTGACGGAACGATTATCCATTCGTTTGTGACGGAATCTGTCGATGTAAGAGAGAATAATGTCGAGGATTTACATATTCATCCAGGAAAAGAGGGAAAACGGGTAAGACGGCTAATCATATTCAATAACTTTCGATAGCTTCACACTCACCCTAACTCATAGACTGTGTAATTAGTCACCTATGTGGGAGTCCAACGTTATATCATAGTGATGAAAAAAGTCGAACATGAAATACTAATAAAAGTCAGACTTGAAGATACATTCAATAGACTCGATATCCCGGATTAATTCTTGCCAATGAGAGAAAACGACTCTAGACACGACAGGCCAGGTAACCATGGCAACCGCAGTTCATTGAATAGCAAACGGAAGAGTAGTTACCATTGGAACGATTTTCCAAATATAATTTAAAACAATGATCCCCATGTGAAAACTTTGTAAACACAAATTTGAAATTTTCAGTGATTAAAAAAAAAATTTATCTTGAAGGCTATGACTTTTTTTTTTCGCTTTCACACTGCGTCATAGCGAAAAAAAAAAGTCATAGCCTTCAAGATAAATTTTTTTTTAATCACTGAAAATTTCAAATTAATTGGTTCAGTATTCGAAGAGAAAAGTGATTTCTTCAAAACGTGTTGACGGAAACAAATAATAACAATAACAACAAAATTTTGAAACGATCGTTATGTCCACCACGTGTCCAACAATGCCCCTAATCATGCTCTGATTCACTGGAGTGGATGACGGGTTTGCTGGCGTTGTTGTCCACCCGGGAGGTAGCTGTAAGATAAAAATAAATAATTGTGCGATATAAGTAAATCAAGTAACGCTTTGTCAAACTAAGAGTTAACTCAACAATGAAGGATTTATTTTTTAGAATAGAATATACATATTTATCCCGAGAGAGAGAGAAAATCTGATAAAAAGGATTAATAATATGCCGAACCAAACTTGTCTGGTTGCTAGTCCATTTCGGATATGGGATTAGCTAATGTTCTGCAATCTCTACTTGCCAAACTAGATCGACATAGCCAATGAATCCGGCCGAACCCCCGTAAACGTGTGTGTTCATAGGCTTGAGGTTCTAAAAAGCATTTCAAATTACGAAAAATTGTAATGTATGATGCAGAAAAATGCTTTTTTCAACTTTCAAAAAGGGGGGTTACAAAACGCAACAACCCCCCACCGCCAGGGGGTAAGCATGGGTACTCCCGTAGTATGTGAAGCAAGATGGCGGACACCGGAACGTAGTATGTGTACCATGTTGGGGTTTGGCCATAATTTTATTCCTATTTTCCTTATTTTAGTTCTATTACGATTTCGAGGACCCCTATGTGTTAGCCAATATACCCCCTGTTCATAAGTTTCGGTTCATTTATATAACTTGATGTATAGTAGGTGAACAAAATTAGTTACCTCCATATTGGTACACATACTTCTGGAGCACCGACGAAAGTATATTAGCGTAATAATTGGAACAGTATTTAAAAGGAACTAAAAATGAGCTCAAGCATACCTTTCTATTCTAATTACAGTTGGGCTTAATAGCATCAAGGATCCGGTTTTTAAAGATAGAAAAAGCAATCGAAAAATCGCCGATGAGATGGCAGTAGGCACCAATAATAATAAATAAAATGGTGCAATAACGCCATCTCTGCGTTCTGAATATTCAAACTGGGATTACGGTGTTTGTTATCTGCCTCAAACGCTTTTGCGGACTCTTTGCGAGAAAGCATATGTATAATCACACGAGACAGATTTCGTCGTGAGAGAATAACGCTCGTCCCTGATTAATAAATTATAAATCCGAAATATAAAAATTGACGAACGGCACAGAAGAGGCGGAAACCGACTCCATATCGACCATCCTTACCCGAGAGTATCTGAATTCTTACTTTTGTGCTATAATCCTTTGATTACTATCCAATAAATGCCATCTCAGAACAGTAGAATTACTCTTCCCCTATAGTACTCCACTTTGATAACTTATGGTACCGACGCAGAGATGACTGGCAGATGCCGTGATCCCCTACTTTATCCTAATGCCTCAGTGTAACTTTTCATTTATTTCAACCAACAAAACCATTCCAAATACGCAAATAAATTCCAACGGAAATCCTTTTCCGTAAGCCTCAAAAACAGCAAACTGGTGACGTAGTAACGCATCACTCATGCGTAGCAAACCGGCCTTGAGCAAACTATATTCAGTAAATAAGGATCTAGTGCTGCATTGTCTTTAGAATGCCGTTGCTGTGGTTACCTTGCTTGGCAGTGCTCGAAGTTGTATTTTTGTATGCAACGTTTTTTTATTGATACAATGTTTGACTCCCCCCCCCCCCCCCCCCCCCCCCCCCCCCCCCCCCTGATTACTTTAAGACTTAATTAACTTGGGTGTCGCTGCTTGATAACCAGTATTGGTTGTTCGCCCCCTTCCACCCTGAAATACCATTTTACGTTTTTTTTTTATTGTTTGTACAAAGTGTATTTACATGATGATGAAAAAATGAAATACTGCTAACTGATAATAGATTTTCAATGTTAGCGTAATATATTATTTACGCAATTCTATAGCGATGTCAATATGAAAATCCTGTTTTTATTTGTCAATGCGTATTGAAGATTGTAAAATGAGCCTAAACTATTACAGAAAAGTAAGAAAATATAAATCAATTATGTCCGAATTTTTCATAGCAAAATATTTGAGTATTCTACAGTTATACTTGCAGCTCGTGTTAATCTTAAATTTTCAAAATGAATCTATTTTGCGTTAAACCAGGGGTGGGCGATTATTTTTAGAGTGGACCAGTTACAGATAATACACTTGGTTACTGGGGCGGAAACTCAAAGCTTGGTATAAAAAATTATGAATAAAAGACAGTTTATTCACAAAAGCTAGTTCAACAGCTTGAAGTTTATATCAGTGGTTCTTAAACTTTTACAGCTGCTCCCCCTTTTTTAGAAATTGTCAAGTTTTGCGCCCCACCTCAAAAAAACTAGCTAACAATAAGGATGGAACGCGAATAATGAAATAAATGTAATAACAATTACGTAACAATGGACTCCTAGGATTGGAGTAAACATGCTAACGATTGTATGGAAGGTTCTAGAGTCAGAGGTGGGCAGGGTTTTGGGCCACGGGCTAAATATTTTAACTACCTAGACTGGCGGGCCATCTAAGTGTGACGTAAAATATACATTTTATGAATGATATTTACAGAGTTAGAAAAGCAAACGTGGCAAACAGTAAGCCTCGTGCCGACACTAAATTTATCCGCAATTTCAACAAATTCCTTGAGCTATTTTCAATTAAAACATCAAAATTTGGTTATAGTTTGGTTGTGGCAGCATCAGGCGGGCCAAATTGAATTACCCAACGGGCCGTATTAGGTCCGCGGGTCATAGTTTGTCTGAACTCATAGATACTCTGAACTAGCAGCATGAAGTTGAACTCTTAAACATGCTCCACGATAAAGATAAAAAAGATACAAGAAAAACAGACTCTCCGCAATCTCTAAACAATAAAGAAATTTGAATAACCGAAATAAGGCGGACAAGATCAAATCTAACAAATATTTTTGACTATGATTAACTTCATGCCCCCTCAAAGTTGTCTACGCCCCCTTGTGGTACATATAATCACTGGTACATATATTAATAAGAAGCACAATGTAACAATCGGGATCATTATGACGTTATTTTCATCGGTATTTTAAACGGAAATTTATGTCCATAACAACTATAATCGCAATTTCAGCAGATACTTGTGGGCCGGATGAAATACTTCGGTTGGCCGGATCAGGCCCCCGGGCCGTAATACGCCTACCTCTGCGTTAAACGATTTAAGGTTAAATATTGATAAGTTTTGCAAAAATATCGATAAATTCAGATGTGTGAAATACGAGACACGGTATATTATCATTTTTAAATTTCAAATTTAGAAAAAAATGAATATGTCATAAATTTTTATATATGGAACTATCTTTGGTGAAACATGAATGTGAATTCCAACGTGTTTTTTTTGTGCTCCCGAAGTATGAGCACAAATATGGCGCACAACCCGAACATAGTATGTGTACCAGGTTAGGGTTATGGGGGTGTGCGCCATCTTGGTGCCCATACTTCTGGAGCGCCCTTTTTTAATTTTTTTTAATTAATTTTAACATAAAATGAATATTTGAATAAACTAAACAAAAACAGCTGAAAGCAATTCAATAATAAGGGGTGTCCATGAGGTCTTTAAAAAATTTCGAAATTGCAAAGAAAATTCAATGCCATTTAGAGTTTTGGTCCACATCCTGCACTTTATGGCCCCCTTTATTTATCACATATTATGAACAAAACGGTAAAATTAATGAAATTTGTTGAGCACATCTAAATATTTGCAGTTCATTAAGTTACATCTTGTATTGTTTGAAGAAGTTAGACCATAATCTAACGAAAGCTCACAAATGTACTTACTATTTTGTTTAAAGAACATTTTATTTTCATTTTTTACATAACAATAACGGTTAGCATTTTCAATAATTTCCATCACCCCCCTCCCCCCCCACAATCTTCCCCCCTAAAATTAAAACCTGGGGAACATACTGGGGATATACGTAGTATTTACACGGAAAGAGTTTCTCCATCTTAATTTTTTTATCTGACAGTTTGCTATAACAGTTGCATGGAAGTTTAAACTTCACACAGGACGTATGTTCTCTGATCTGGGTTGTTGTGAATGAATTGATATCGGCTTGTTGAATCTTCCTGAATCCTGATAAACATGTTTGTGTGACCAGAATGACTCTGCCCATTGATTGGATACCCTGGGTACCATTTGAAAACACTGTGTGATGTCACAGTTCCGTTTTGGAGACGAAGAATCTGATTCTAAAACAAAGAAGTGAAATTATATTGAGTGTTTAATTATTAGAATAATTTGATTATATTCAAAAGTTATGGAAGTTAAAAGTTACCGGTATTTTCCGATGCCCGGAGTTTTATGTAATGTATTTGATTTTTATACAATACTATTTTTAATTATATAAATTTTTGACTTCTTTCTATTCAATCTGTATCAAAGTTAGACTTTTATCACAGGTGTCGCTACTCGATAAGCGAAAAATTTATCACATCAATAAAAGGACTTCAACGTCTTTCAAATAATCACTATAATGGAACTCCGACTATCACGAGCTGAGCCAGGAACACCTCGGCAAATTTTTTAGTGAAACTTATTGTGAGGTCAAATACATCGCGGAACAATTAATACATGCCGAGAACCGATCGTATTTTTATGTCACAATCTTGTTGTTTGGTCACAATTAATTTCAAACAAATTTAGTTTTTGTCGTATTTAAACTGCATAGTTGTCCTTTTCTTGTCATTGTTAGAAACTGCTTGTCTGAGGAAGTCTGATTTTGGTCAGACGAAACGTTACAGAAATACATTTGTGTTAGTGTGCAGCAGTACTCCCGAATAGCATAGTATGATATTTTTTTTTGCATCATATGCATACGGATCCACTAGCGCAAAGGCATTGAGGAAGGATTGGGAGTTAGTCTCACGTAATCTCTACTGATAGTAATACTAATAAAGCTTTTATTTTTAACTCACAATAGGGTCGTATATCATGCCGAGATGAAAGTCTTTTAGTGATTGCACGTCCAACTTGTTGTCACGAATGAATGTCATTATCACGTCCATATGTTTTTGATTGTAAATATTTGCAAGTTCACCACCGAGCTGTTGACATTTGGCGATCGCTGATGCTTTAAGAACCTCTTCAGATGCTAACGGTATGAACATTCTTCCGTCATAACGCACAATATCTGTAATTCAAATAATTTGCAATTGTTAAATCATAATAATTGATCTAAGTGGTTATCAAACGCCGATACCGATATTACAAAAAGGCAGATTTGCCGATACTCCGATACTATGTAATTATTACCTCAAGTTTGCAGGACAGCGGTTTAAAACAATTGATTTGTCATTATTCATATTACACATTATTTCAGATTGAAAAAGAGATATATCACTTAAAATAAGAATGATGTCTGGGATACAGATGCATTAATTGATTCAAAGGTATTGTGCACTGATGCTAGTAATCTCGGTGTTCAACTAGAAAACTCATAGGCAGGGATGTCCAGTTCGAATTTAATATCAGTATCGCGGCCTTTGAATATTGTTTTTTGTGTTTGAAAGAATATCGAATATCGCCCACACATTTTAGCGCCGCCGGCCTACGT